TATATATATATATATATATATATATTTACTGTAAACGATATAAGAGAGGAGAGAATTAGCTAAATATTTGCACATATTATGATTCAAGCACTTTTTATCAATGAAGATTGAAAGAAGAAAACAATGAGCAGTTACGAATGGAGTATGAACGTTTGGTTGAAGGATTAAGACGCGTTGAAGAAGATCGTATGAATGATCAAGTTTTAGCGAATCCTGGTAACATTATTGTATTCATTTATAATTTGTTTCGAAGATTTTTATGCGGTGAAGTAGATTTCAGTTATTTATAGTGCTTCCTGATATGATTTTGCAAGAAGCAGTACCGGGATCTATACGAACTGCTATACATTTCATTGGATTTTTGCGTCGTTTGAACGAATATTTGAAGTACCGAATGCGTACCAAAACTGTTGTTATTGAAAGTCCTGCAGCATTTCTTCGCGATATTGGCGATTTAATGTTTATTGACCGAACACCTCTAAGGTTGTTATTAGATCACATTGAGATTCTCCGCGTTCTTTTAAACAGTAGGCATGTGAATTAAAGCATTCATAATATTCACTGTAATAATTTTCATAAATCTGTTTAGCTGCTGATAGAAAGCAAAAATTTTGAAGCATGCGAGTAATTCATATTTTCATATCTTTTAAAAATACTCATTTTAGCACTTATTCACAATTTTCATAGTTTAAATGTTTATCTAATATGTTTTTGTTTTGTTAGTTGCCTTTGAATTAAGTCAGCTTAATTGGTTTTCGCAATAGAAAAATCTTACTTTTACTGAGAGTATCGTTTTAATTGAAGTTGACCTTCGTTTTTCGTGCTATTATCATGCTTTCGATACTTAAAAAATTTGTGGTTCAGGGTTACTGAAAAAATTAGAATTTTTTTCAGATTTTGTGCAGAGCGATTCGCATCGTTAGCACGAACATTAGAGCTGGCTGACATATCGGATTTCAGTTCTTTGGTACTGATTACAAATTTTGCGACGCTTGTCAGCACTTATGGACGAGGTAATTCTTCAATTTTTTTCATTTTTTATATGTTTCAACTGATTTTAATTCGTTTTTTTCTTCAGGTTTTATGATTATTATTGAACCTTTGGATGAAAAAAGTGGTACAGGACATAGTTGCACGCTACATTTGAGTTGTGTTGATGCTTCTATTGCTATTCGTCCAGTTTTTCAGCGTTACCAGACAGTTGTTATCACTTCAGGGGTTAGAATCAGTGCAACTCTGTTTTTTTTTAACGTTTAAATTCAAAATTTGTCATGTCGTACAATTTCTTATTCTTATCTTTGCCCATTATTTTCAGTGACAAAACTTATTGCATTTGACTCAAAATTGACATAATTTTTCCTATTTTAAAAAATTTTTAAATAATTCTGGATTTCACTCTTATTAATTTAGACTTTATCACCGTTAGATATGTATCCAAAGATTTTGGATTTCGATCCTGCAATTATGGCAAGCTTGTCAATGACGCTTGCTAGACCCTGTATTGCACCATTGTTTGTTTCAAAAGGTTTGTGTACTTTATTTTTTTACTTTGCACAGACTTGAGTTAATATTTTTCTTTTAGCATTTCTATCATTTTCTGATTGAAATTCAGAGTAATTGTCTTCTTCGTTTTGTAGGTAATGACCAAGTAGCGATGACGTCACGTTTTGAATCTCGAGAAGACATTGCTGTAATACGGAATTACGGAAGTCTTGTTTTAGAACTTGTTTCTTTAATTCCTGATGGTGTTGTAGTGTTTTTCACCAGTTATATGTACATGGAAAATGTTATTTCAACATGGTATGATCAGGTATTTTCATTTTTTGGTGACTAAGTTCTTTGATGTTTTTAACTCAAAAAAAAAATAGTGTTTAACTTTATTGTTAGCAATTTTTTTATCTGTATTTGTGCAGGGAATTATTGATGAGTTGTTGAAACACAAACTTTTGTTTATCGAAACAACGGATGCGCTCGAAACCAGTATTGCTTTAGAAAAGTATGTGGAAGCTTGCGATTGCGGAAGAGGAGCTATTTTCTTCTCCGTCGCAAGGGGAAAGGTGTTTGTTTTTCTAAATATTCTTTTGCCTTTCCGCTTTAGAATCTTCCACGCCTTTTCTGAGTTGTAGTCGTTTTCATATTATTTTTCTAGTTTGACTTTCAGGTATCAGAAGGCATTGATTTTTCGCATCATCTTGGACGTGCTGTCATAATGCTCGGTGTTCCTTATATGTATACAGAAAGTCGCATATTGCGAGCTCGACTTGAATATTTACGAGTTCGTTTAGGGATAAGGTAATTTATTTTTGTTGGCAAAAAGTTTAAAAATAAATTCATTCAAGTATTATTTATCATTTTGTGGTTCAACTTTTCAAGCTACAGATGATAATTCTGGAAGAAGCTTTTTTGCTGTTTTCACTACAAGACTATTTAGAGAAAATGACTTTTTGACATTTGATGCTATGCGTCAAGCTGCACAGTGCATGGGACGCGCCTTAAGAGGGAAGAGTGATTATGGTTTGATGATCTTCGCTGATAAGTTTTGTTTTTTTACTTGAAATATGGGCACGTAGTAATATTTGAAAAAAATAAAGTATTTCTTTCTTTAGTAAAATATTTCTTTGAAGATCCTGTGCTTGTTGTTTAAAGGTGTTGGATCTTAATTTAATTGGGACAGTTATCCATTCATATAGTATTTTATGCTAGTAATATTCACAAGCCTTCATATTTTAGAGGTTTTCACGTAAGGACAAGATGGGGAAGCTTCCTAGATGGATTCAAGAGTACATCACTCCTGGAAATGTTAATCTCAGTATTGAGGAAGCCGCTATGATTGCCAGAAAGTATGGTTTCACTTTTGTAGATAGTGTCAGAATTTTTCTCCGGAGTTCTTGTTTTTCACATTCGGTCGTTGTTTTTCAAGTTGCTTCTTCAGAGAAATTTCGATCAAAATCATGGAATTCGTTTCACTTAATCTGCAGTAGCTTAAAAATAAGCAAAAACAATATATTGCAGATGGTTTCCGTTAATGGCACAACCATTCACAAAGGAACATCAGTTGGGAATTTCATTGTTAACTGAAGAAATGCTTCATGAAGAGGAGCTACTCAAGAAGAAATTCAGTCATGTTCTACAAGAAGTTGATTGATAGGTAGCACGTTTAGAACTGCAGAACTGTCCTAAAACCAGAGATATTTTTTCAGAAATAAAAAGATAATTTTACGTTTAATGAGTAAAATGATTAACATATTAGCATATTTTGATTCCAGAAAGTAATCTCACCGCGTAATGAAGCACGTTGTTAGTAATTACCATTCTCCATATTTTGTTGTCGGTTTTGTTCTTGTTGATTTTGATTATTGTAGCTGTAGATCTCTGTATGAGATGCTTATAAAATACTGGTTTTCTCCTTTCAAAATATTTTGGTGAATTTCCTTAAATTCAATCTCTTACTCCTCTTTGATTTTTAGAAGTAAACAGATTCACTTTTTGAATTTTTTTTCCAGTTTTTGTAGAATGTTTGAGCATGTCTTGTTCATGCTTAATTGCTTTCAGAAGATCAAAATTCTAAGTTGTTGATGAAAGATTGTTTGTAAAATAAATGCTTTCTTCCTGTGTCTTGGTCAGTATAATATTTGTTCTTTCTTTTTATGATATACTTTCTATCATTTGGTCATCGTGTCGTCTGTTCCTCATCAAATTTTGTTGGGAACTTTAACCATGATGTCAAAGTTTAAAGTTTGTTTTGTAAAAGGAATTTTAACTCTTTTCAAATCTAGTTTTATTTTCAGGATATGATAAATAGTTGTTTTTTCAGATTAGGTGTTTCAATATGCGAGAATGGTATCTACTGAGAAGCGACCTATCCCAGCACCACGTACTACCTTAATCGGTAGAAAACCGGCGGTGCCTAAACGTGGTGTAGAAATCAACTTCTCTAATTCTCATTTCATTCTTCCTAGCTCTAGAGAATGTTTTTCACAGCGTAATAATATTCTAACATTTCAAAGGCAGCTCAGCTCAAGCAACAACTTTCATCGCGCAAATTCTTTGTCTGACATTAGGAATCGGAGTGTAGTAAGCGTTCGTCGTTCTGCCTCATTTCATTTGTGTATATGCAGTGTTCAGAAAAATAGTTTGACAAGCAATAATTCTGGAAAAAAATGGCATTGGGAAGGGGTCGATGATTCCAATGATTCACATCTGCATTCAGGCTATAACTCAAATACGAGATTTTCGGAATCGGGACACGTTGCGCGAATAACGAAAATGATAAATTCTGCAAATTCTCAAAGCACATCAACCTTCATGAATAAACCAGTTGTCTCTTCAACAAGTAAAATGGAGACTGCAAATGTGCAGTTACCTGTTGTGAAGTCGTGCTGTTCCTTGAATAGAAGTACCATTACGACTGTTGAAGACAGTAACAAAGATAGTAGTTCATTTAATGAGACCGGAAATCAAAAATATGATAATACTATGGAATCGGGAAGTGTTCCGGCAGAAATTCCACGGTGTGGTTTGTGGAACTCCGGTTACATTGGTCTTGAGGCTTATATTAAGATGATGGAGCAATGTTTCGAAAATGTGCAAACGAATCCTAGGTAATTTGTAAAATTAACTAATCGAGCAGCATGATATTTGCGATTCAATGTACACAAAAAATTCATCCATATTTTCTTGCACAAAGTTTTTTACTTTGCAATAACTTTTCAAATTGCAATGTCCTGCAGATCTGTTACCAATACCAACTTTTTGGATAAACTTTATACGGAAGTAGAATCAGCAAGTATGGCAAAGGCAGCTCAACATGATAGTGGTGAAAAATTAGATGATCATCCTCTTATGCTAGAAAACTTTCCACTTTCTAATTGGGCCGAAATTGTTGTTGGTAAAAAAGAATATGGCAAATTATGGGTAGTGATCGTGGACAATTTTTTATCTTGTTGGACTAGTGAGATTACGGTATTTTGTGATTAAGCAGTTTTATTTTGCAGGAAGTATTCGCTTACCTTCTATCTAGATTTTTTTAAGGAATATTTTTCTCTATATTGTCAAAAATTTTGTCCGATTTGCATTGTAAGGCAATAATATTCATTAATAATGCTTTGTCATTTTGTAATTTTTTCAGGATGGTTGTCCTATAGTTGGCCCATACAACCTTAAAAATACTTTGTTTGTTGGAAAAAATCCATCAGATGATAGTATTGAATTGCATATTCGAGAAAATTTTCTTTGTAGTCATTGGACACATCTAAAGCTTGTATCAATCGCTGATGTCGAAAAATGGATTTCAAATATTGTAAAGGTAGATTTTTAATTTCCAGAATATACTCAACTGTTGAGGGCACGATTATCGACTACAGTTTATTTGTAGTGTATCATGCCCAAGAATGATTTACTGCTGTACAGTTTGAAGAATTTGAGCGCTGGGGGTAACTTATGGATTCGACAGGGAACAGCTTGTGCATGGACAAGTGGTTGGATGTTTCTTGATAACGTTAGTAAACATTTACTTTCGATTACCTGGAACTAGTCTTGTTGCTATTTTTTTTTCTCTTTAAGGTTTTATTTGTTTGAGGAACTAATAAATTTTCAGCATAAGCTATTTTATACATTGGATAATTGTTCCATGTTATTCGAACTTGATATACGTAAATTCATTGGAATGAAAAGTGCATTAAGTAAAGTTGATTGGTGCGCTTCAGTTGTTGGTTCTTTAAAAGGACCTTTTCTCTTACTGCAAGAAGGAGGGTATGTCTTTTTTTGGATTTCAGAACTTTGATTCCAGCATTTTAACAATAAACAACGTATATGAAAAGGTACAGACACAAAAATTAGTCTTTGCTTTTTGTTTCTATAGTTTTTAATGCTTCTATAACTGTGTTATTTTTTTCTCTTATTTTCAGCTCTCTATTTGTTCAAGCTGAGCATGATTCCGTTACATTTACATGGATTAATTTACTAAAGCATCAAATGGCATGTAGTGGTTATAGATTGGAAGATTCAAAGTTAACATCAGACGACGTTCCAGTTATTGTAGACAAGTAAATTTTTCCCTTTTTTTAGAATTGTCGTTAAAATAGGAAGCAGTTACTTCTAAGTAAAAAATATATGGAATATATATATATGTATATTTCTTAGGTGCATAAAATTCATCTCAACATATGGTCTTCTTCATCCTGGTCTCTATCGTTGTAGTGGTTCAGCCATAAAAGTTCGAGCTCTATTATCGGAATTTAGGAAAGGTGACGTTGCATTTAAATGTATTTTAGAGTGTAAAACCCAGAAAAATTTGTTATCAATTCGTTTATCTTATTGCTTTATGCAGGGATTGGCAAAAAAATATATTTAATTCTATATTTCAGTTCGAAATATAAGTTTTCTATTCTGCTTTTCTGACTTTTTCAGATCCTATTAATTTGCATTTGTTACCTGGATCTGATGACATTATTAATGTCGTGGCAGACGTACTTCGATCATTTTTTAGGCAGCTTGATTCCCCACTTGTTCCGTATCATATTCAAGACCGTCTCTTTGCTGTTTTTAATATGAAAGGTATTTCTTTCAAAATTTGAGATATATATGGTACATATTTTATACATATACAGTCATTAGAGAAAATTACTTTTGCAGACTCGTCTAGGTTAGATGAATATCATGAAATTCTGATGGGGTTACCGCGGATACGTATTCAGACATTAAGACGTGTGCTTGATCATTTGAAAGATGTTACGGAACATGCAAATGCCAATTTAGCAACTGTAGAAAACATTGCCAAAGTTTTTGGCCCTACTTTGCTTTCAGTTCAACGGGTTTTTTCTTTCGTTTTGAAGAATAATTGTAGACAAAATTTATTTCACTTTTCTTTTACTAAATTGATAAAGTGTACTGTATCATGTTTCAATATGTTGACTAATAATTAGTAATGTTACCTATTTCTTCCAGTATCATCAGGATGCAGCTGTATGCGTAAAACTTTGTATATTAGAAATTTCACTTATGTTTATGTAGTGTCTCTCTTGTCAGGTTTTAAAAATTTAGGATAGTGAATTAAGCAGCAGTTTTTCCGGTATGATGCGACAAATAAATCTTGTCAAGGATCTTCTCACTTATTATGCATCTATATTTCGCATTTCAGCACGTGAAATGTGTATTAAATCGAAGATAAACATGTTGCAAGAAAAACCTAATCAAACGAAGGTATTTCAGTTATGCATCTCATTTTAATTCATTTGACTAATACCTAACAGCAGTGACAATTTTCTAGGCTCGTGCAGATGGCTTTCTAGTTCCGGTACATATTCTGGAAAAAGATAATCATACGTTTAATGTTCAGTCTTCATCAAATGCAGAACAGGTAAAAATCTCAGATCTAGGTCATTAATCATTTTTTCTCAGATAGTATTTTTAACTATTATGTTTATTTGGTATTAATCGGCATTAATTATAGGTTTGTGACGCTGCTCGGAATAGACCAGCGATTCGTAATGAAACTGATGTTAATACTTTTGCGTTGTTTGAGGTCCAGCATGGCATTTTACTTTATCTAAACTGCTTGTTATTTATTCATCAATTCGAAGCTTTTAATGAATTGTTTTTTCCAGGAAATAAAGTATGGTCAGCTGGAAAGGCGAGTAAATCCACCTGAAAAGATGAGTTCCATGATTACTTGTCGATGGCTTGATTGGGAACCATCCGAATGCTTTTTACTATTTAAAAGGGATCCCATTCCTTATTCGTTTCAGGTTTTTTGATAAAGTGCATTATTTATTTTTACAAATAGAGACTTTGAGAGAGAGATTCTGCCGTGGCAATAAGTCAAAAAAGTGCGGTGGAACTCAGGAATATGCATCACCATGCAATTTTCTTAAAGAAAAAGGAACATAAAGCATAAGGATGTGGCACTTTTTAATTGTTTCTATCTGATCAAAAATCATGAATAGACATCAGAAGATACGTTAAATTATGAGAAATATGATTCGTTCGTGCAGAAATTTTTTGAAAGCATCGTAAACTAAACAATTCATTTTTTTTTCATTAGTATCCTGAAAATTCTAATATCATAATTGTAGCGTATTTAAAAGAAATTATCGTCCTTGCATTCATCGCATTTAAAAAGATATTAAAGTTCTCAGATACAGGTAAAAAAACAATCTTTCGTTTATGTTCCTGTCGAAACTAATATATTCAAACAGTGATACATCCATGAAATGGCGAGTTCAAGAATAATTTTCAGCTTCATATTCAGTCTAATTAAATTAAACTTAAATGGTTCTTTTCGTTCAGCTCTCATATCCGTTTGCTGATGATGTGCGAATAGCGGAGCCAGGCACGAAATCATATAATATTGGCCATCTGAAATTGGAAGCGGGGGTGGTTGCATATTACAATAAGGTTCATCCGATTATTTTTCTTAATTTTCAGATTCTTTTGTTTTCATACGATTAAGATTTACTGTTTGAGCTTATTTATTCTGCATTCTCATGTGTGCTCATGGGCTGGAAAGAAAAATCATTTTGATTCAGTAGAACTACATGTATCACAAAAAATACCACTGTTGTTATAAAGTTCATTCAGCTATCGGTAACCACTATATTGCATCAGTAAACTGAATTTATTTGAGTCACTCTCTCGTTACTATAAGTAGCGACAAATCTTTACAGACCGCGTAAATATAGAATTGTTTATGAAAATATTTCTTTTAAGAATCTGAAGAAAGTGAACCAGTGGCATACGGATGAAATACTGTGGTATATAGGGCATGAAGGTGGTCGTAAGCCACCCTATCCATATACGTTGACATTTATATTACCGAAAGATCATAATTTCAAGTATAAGTCGAAATATATGGGTTATTGTGTCGCGTTTCGAGAGGTTACGCTTAGAGCGCAATGGCTTAATGCAGCAGTTAGTTCACAGCATGATTTTCGTGAAAATTCTAATATGCCATTACTGCAGATTTAATCTATTAAATTCAGTAATTGTAACTTATTCCCCTGTCAGATGTTTGGTGATTGGTCAAACCAGACAAGTTTTTCGTTTTGAGTTACTGATTGCAAATGATTAATATTTGGCTTTATCCCATATCCATTTTCATTTTTCTTGTCATTTTCTCGCTCTATTCTTGCAAAATGTGCATTTATGTTCGTCCATAGTTCGTTGAGCGGGATTTCATCGGATCTACCTGAAATTTTGATTTTTGCTAGAATATATCCCTTTTTCAGAAGTAGTGGGACATTATGAAGTCATTAGTCAGTGAAATTCATGAGACATTGAAAAAATTTTTAACATGCAAAGATTTTGTATGCTGTGCAAACTTTCTGTTGTATACTTTGTTGCATTTGAAGTATCAGTTCAATTATTGCTCTTTCTTGATTCTTTGTGTGGAAAATAAACTGTATTCGAAATATCTTCGGTATGAAATGGTTATTACTTATATTTAGGAGGTATTTCATTACTGTCATTATACTAGAAAAGGTAGATGCAGTGCTGTATAAAGTCTTCTTTGTAATGTAACAAAGTGCATAATTTGGGTTTTTTCAATAAAGATTTAGAATGACTACATTGTTTATCGCTTGATCACTTCATACGTGCATAGTCAATTTTGTACCTTCGTCAACTCCAATCTTCAAGGTTTCTTTCCCTCATCTGCTGACCTAAATAACACGTGAGATAAATCGGATTGATTTTGCTATTTCTGTAGGTTTTTATTGTTGCTTATATGGTTCTATTACTTCCACATAGAAGTGATAAGTTTGGTTCATAACAATCTCATTTTACTTTTTGGTGGTCATTTCAAGTTAAGCAATATGAGCTAAATCGTAATCGGAATTATTATAATGGACTGTGAATCAGAATCCTTGCAAAACAATTTTACAAGTTCAGTTATTAGTGAGATACAGTTTTATCGTATAATGAAATTTTTGCCTAAATCTATGCTATTGAGTATTGCAGTATGGATCACAAAAATTTCTCCTTAAAGTCTGTATCGGCAATGATAGAGAAAACTCAGTCACAAATCTCCCTTCAAAGTTCGAAAATTCCAGTGACATTTATAGGCGCTAATCCTTTTAATCAACTATTGCCAGGTAAAATTGGGTTTGTGACAGTTCTTATTTTGATTGTCATAACTTCTGCTACCTTAACTAAGCTTAATCGCCTTTTTTTGCTGTACTTTCGATCTACTTCTGCTTATATTTCAGGTCGACGTCGCTGTCAATGCCAAGCACAAGTTCATAAATTAATTCGAAACTGTATGGGTTGTGGACGTATAGTGTGCGCACAGGAAGGCAGTGGACCGTGTATGTTTTGTAAAACGCTTGTCTGCACTCGAGAAGAGCGTCGAGTACGTTTAAAATTGCTGTTTGTGTTGATGAGCTCATCTCTGTTATTTCAGTCACTGATTTTTCATTTCAATTATTTTATTTTCTCTTTACTACTTTGATTTGTCAATACTAAGATCTGATGATAAATATATATTTGGTAATAAATGCATGTTGTTTAAACAGCTAGTTTCTAATATTTTAAAATTTTCAATTTTGTCAAGTGGTAAAGAATTAATATGAGTGTTAACTGACAGTTTTATAGATTTTGGATATGCAGACGGAAGAATCAGCCAAGCTTTATAAGAAATTAGTGGGGGACGTTATTCCCACATTTGATAAAAATCGAGCCATCGCTCTAAGTCCTTCACATAAAGAATCTTTCGCAAAAGCTGAACAGGATAGAGATAGATTATTAAGGGCAAATGCTGATAAGTAAGGCTTAATAGATTATTGTGTGCTGTAGTAACATAATTTTGTTAATCAGTTAACATTGTTGTTATCCATAAGAATGAGGGTTTGCTTCTTGCATTAGTTAGCTGATTTAATCTGTATTAGTGTTATTTATAATCTTGTCCAATTGCAGGGAAATGCGAAGACGCATTCATGATTTAGATTCTGATTATTTTAGTATGGAAAGTGACATATATCTCACGAAAGAGGTTAGTTCTATTCTCTTATAGCAATGGTTCCATTGTTTTCACTCTTGAACAGTAGACATTATCTACATAGTTTTGATTTCATGATACTCGTTATAATTTGTAATGTCCATTCTGTATTGAACAAAATCATAATTAATTCGCAATTATTCACAAGATTTCAGGAGAGAGAAGCTATAGTAAAGCGTAAAAAAGAATTGAAAGAAATTCGAAAGCATCGAAATCGAGCTGTTGTGGTAGACTTCGATTTTGATAAAGGCATAGTATATGAAGTAAAATTTTTGTTTCGCGTTTGAAGTTCTCTTTTGAAAAGTGGTGAGCACTTTAGTAAATTCAAAGAAAATTTATACTTTTAATATAGGTGCTTGATTAGATCAGTTTCGGTTCAAATAGCATGATATTTATGTCACTTTACTGCTTTTATTTACATTTTTTTCAAAAAATGGCAATGTCTGCGTTGGGAATCATATAATTTCTTTTAGACAAAAAAAACAGAATGTGAGCGTGATCCAGTTCTAGAAGCAATTCTTGAATCGTCCTATAAGCGCCAAGAAGTTAAACCATCGAAATTACAACTTAGAAGTTTTGGAGGATTCGTACCAAAAGTTAGATTTTATTTTCAGATTCGCATGCTTGTGTGACTAGTGAAAGAGATACATTTTTGTAAATAATATTTTTTTAGCACGTTAATTTCATGTTTACTTTCGGTAACTGGACTTCATATTTTTGCTTTGTGTAGTATATTGAGGTCAAAAATCCGGAATTACCTTGTCAAACAGACGGTTTTGTTAAACAAGAGATGAACTTTTTGTCCAATGAACTTCAATATGTAGAGGTAGCAAAGAAAGGTTATTCGATTGCTCTTATGCAACCAGTCGCTACATTATTAGCTCACGGATTTCGGAGGTGATTGGTGTTTCTCATGCTTGTAAAAAATTATGTTTAAATTGTTAACTTTGTTCTTTGTGCTAAAACTAGTAGATTAAAAAACTTAACTACTGTTATTTTTATTTTTTTAAAGCTCATCTGATCATCTTGAATAATTGAAATAATTTGAAATAAATAGAAATAAAGAAAAAGTGTGAAGAAATTGATAAAAAAATCACTTTTTAGGCATATTTTTTGGAATGAATATGTCGATATTAGAGGCCCAATATTAATTGTTGCAAAAACTATATCTGTTTCTAATGATCAAATTGAAAAGGAAATGTTGCGCTTCACAAGTATTTCAAAAAACCGTAAGCTCATTACTATGATAATAAGCGTAGTATTTAATGTAATTAGTTGCACGTTGAGTTTCTTCCACAGTCTGTTTAGTCTAATATAATCTTGTTATTTTATTCACAATGACAATAAATCCTAACAATATATACCAGTGGATTTTCAGAAGATGTAGGGAATCGCGAGTTTCCATCGGACTTTCCTCAGGGTGGCATTTTAGGTCGTGCATTGCTTATCGATTGTGTAGCGCTAGAGGACTATGAAAAGGATGTAATATTACATATATATTTCATAATTTTGCGTAGTGTAAATGTACTTTTCTTGCTTACACTTTTACTAATTGTGCTTCTTGAACTATAACTATATACATTTTTCAGAATGCAGACGATGGATATTTGGATGAGGAAGGATCGTACGTACTTATATTTGATATCTTTGAACCATTGAATGCAGTCATTCCTCACATCCCTCCTTCAGACGGTATTTATGTTATGAAAAAACACTTGGTAAAAATTGTAGAAAAAGCACTTAATTTTTCTCTGTCTTCATCGTAATCATAGATGTTAAATTTAATTTACATATTAGATGCCAGCTTTTATATATTTTTCATCCATTTCATGTTCTGTGTTTTGTTGTGTTTTGAAAATATCACTACTACTTGTTCTGGGATGCTATGCAGCCTTAATAAAATGTAAATCTGTAGACTTAAGAACTTTGCTCAAGTAATCTTTGCATTTTTGGAGGGTTTTAATTGGTTGATTTTAACACTTGAAACATGGAAACCTTTGAACGAATCAACTTAACATGACAAGTTTTAGCATCTTTTGTAATGATTAAGTCTATGTTAAATAAGTACTGTGTAATAATATCTTTACGAAAACATTTTCAAATGCAGAATGAATAAATTTATAAATGATATCTTTTTTATGTAGTACTTAGTAAATGCAACGAATTTAATGGTAAAGAGTTTTTAATCTGTCGAAATGTTTAATTTCGATGAGTTCAGCGGTTATGGTCCAGTGGTTTCTGTAGATAGTGAAGGATAGATATAAGTGACACGGGCATCTCCATTGGCCCGGTTCAAGAAATTTGCTAATAAGCAGTATAAGTTAATAATTTGTCTGGTTTTCAAATGTATAGGAGGTAACATTTTGCATCACAATTGAAGAGACTGATTTTACGTTGAGAGGAGATGCGTGATTCGAAATCAGGAAGTAAAAGAATCACTTGATACTATGGAGTACTGCTCTGTTTAATTTGTAACTTTTTTGCTATTAAGAAGATACTAATTTTCAGCCGACTTTTAATTCTATTACATCATCGCCTGATTGTTTAGTTAGTAAAGTAACAACAGTTTTCTCATTTTCGCTTACCTTTTTCACAAAATAAACAATTTATCGGATTTACGTAAAAGATTTAAAAGGGATGAGATTTTCAGACCATAGTTGTTTAGTCGTATAGTATCAGGTATTCAAAAACTTGATCGCAAATGATACATATTTCTGTTACTAGCCTTATCATAGCTTTATGTGTCACATTAGCATTATTTGATAGCATTCAAAATAATTCAATTTATCTCACTCTGTGCCATAAAGGTTTGCATTCATGTTATTATGACAAAAGCTGACGTTTTTTTCCAACAACGAGATGGTGTGTCCATGTTCTTATCATCACCAATGTTCAACTGAAATTAGTAAGAGAATTTTTGCTACTAGAATAAGAAATTCTACTAGCATCATTATGTTGATGATTTAGAGTGTACAACTGTGAAGGATTGCAATGGTAGCACGTCTTGCTTTGGTGCGGATATATCTAAGAAAGGATGTTGCCTTCAGGGTAAGCGTACTTATTAGGTTGATAAAATAAAATATAATTCTTAAAGACGATTTTAGAAACTTGCACATTACCGAAAATACCTGATGTGTCTTTTCAACCCCTAAATAAAATGAAAAATAAAGAGTTCTTTAGATTTGGTTATTCAAAATACGAATAATTATAATTTCAATGTATAAAATCTGAATCAGTATGCACTAATATCATTACAAACTTATAAGTTGGATAATTAGGATCTGCTGAAAATTTTAATTTCCTTTATTGTAAATAAATGAAAACTGAAATAAAGAAATATTCGTTGAATTTTTATTCATTCTCAAATCAGTAAAAACTTAAAGCTCAGACTTAGTCTTAAGTAATATGCTGTTAGATTAGATGATAATTGGGTTATTCTCACATCTTCCTTTCATTGTAATTTTTGTAGCGCTTAAGCCTAACCAAACAGGTTGTGTTCTGGATGAACAATGTTCGAGAATTTGTAAAACAAGTTTTTGTGATCGTAGCCAACAACCTCCACGATGTGTTTGCTCACCTGGACAACACCTTATGTTCAATAAGTGTTGTATGTATTTACTTCTTCAAAACGTAATAATGCATTTATTTTGAAAATTATGAAAACTTCGATTACATTATTCATGGACTTTTCATAAGCTTTGTAATTAATTCCTGTTTGAAATTTTCGTCAATTTCAAATCGATGTCAAATATGTGAACTCACTGTGATTACAGGGAAGTCATGTCCGGTGTTTGCCGAACATCAACCTTCTACTGATATAAATGGCCTCAGTCATTGTGTTATTAAAAATGCTGAACTTTATGCTCAATATGAATATTTCCGGCGAATGCGAAGACATCCAAGAAGTGATTTTTGTTGATTTGTACATGTCATTGAGTCATCTGAATGATATTTCTGTACCTTAATAATGTGTTTTAATATTATTAATTTCTGTAACGAGATTGTTTATGATAATTCGAGATCTTTCGTTTTCTTCGGCAAATTTGGTATGCATCAAAGTTTTATCATTTGAAAATTATTACCTGAAGCTGTTCGAGAAGAATACTAATTAATGCTTCCAGTACAGTGAATCACATTCAGGAAAGTTAAACCTCTAACACTGCTACTATTATAGATTTATACGAACTCTTAAAAAACTATATATTCTTACGGTATGCGATTTATTTGTCAATTTTTCTAAATTTTCAAACTTTATTGGCAAATAATACTATAACAGCGATTACTGCTTCATGCTTCATTTCTATTTCTATGAGAAAAATTGACCTCTTTCCTATCAGAACTCTTACTTATTTGTTACAAGAATGAACATAAATAGATAACAAGCAGTAAATTCGAGAGTCAGCTAATAAAATGAAGTGACCGATGAGAAAAAACAAAGAAATGATATTTATTCCTTGCACCAAACATAATTAATATGTACAACTTCATGAAATGCTTAATAAAAGTAATGAGAAAATAATGATAAGTCTTAAACACATAAATCTTATACACGCTCAGTTGATGCTACGAATTTATATAAAAAGTGCTTCGAAAGCTTCTCCCGTCAAAGATCTTGGAAAGACTTACACTGATCTGTTCGTAAAAACAGAAGTTTTTAAAGTTGTTGCTGTTGAAGTAGAAGATTCTGCGCTGCTTGCAAAGATCGAATTTTGAATTTCATACAGCGATCGTGTATATAACATTTGGTCACGTAGTATCAGCAGCGGTAAACGTATTGGTTTTTCGATACTAAAGCCTGACGTCATTGCGTTACATGGCTTTGAATATAACGAAGGGAGATGATGTGAACGTGTTCTGCAAACGTTATTTACATTTACTACTTTGAAATTTTTCACAAGGATACGTTTCAATTATCACTTCTGCATATAAAATGAGATAACTTTTTTTGTCTGTTTTTAGTAGTATCATTATTTGATCTATTTTTTCTTTTTGAAGAAGACTTCGATTCTTTTTTATTAGATCAATTTATGCATCAAAATGTGATCTATAATATGAGTGCATTATATTCAACTCAACATTTAACTACAACGGATAAATTAATTGTGATATTTTCAGCATTTACAGCAACGAAAAATAACAAATCATATATATATTTGAAATATCAACTATATGAACTGCATGTTACTTAACTCTAAATTTGATATGACAATTATTCCAGGTGAATTTTTCTTTTACTTGTGACAATAAAGAAGTCAACAGAAATACTTACGTTGATGATGTCGAATTGTACCTCCGCACAACAACATTTGGACGCCCTCCAGGATAACTCACCGAAACGCTTCGAGTTAAACCTGTACGAGGTAGATTCTTTGTTTTCTTGCCAAAAAATGATGCAGGAGCTGCATTCCATTGAACTACTGGCTGCGAGTGAAAACGCTTGAGAACAACTGAAGAATCTGCTTCTGATGCATCAGATGCGATTCCAAATGGTAGCTGAAACTCATAAGCTTCTTCATTAATATTGAAGAGCGCCGTGTATGCTCTCTTTTTTTCTGTATTTTTTGTCAATTTTGACAATGAACTTCAGAAAAAACTTTAAAGCAATTTTTCATTTCTAAACAGTAGTAAATTTTTTACATTTGGCCATGCTTATAACTGAAATCAGAAAATTTCGAATCAGTTATAACAATGATTTGTTGTATTTGCAAATCATTAAATTATGACAGCAAAGGTTAAGTTTGAATTTTCAACTGGTATGTACGATTTCTCGAATAATATTTACTTTGCTTTCAATAATGCAAAGGATAGTTAAGAAAAGACTTATGTACACGATCTGGCTATCATATTAAGTAAAAATATAAAACACTACCTGAGACATCAACTTGGCCATATGAGCCGTTTTCTCACGCAGTTCGTCTGTTAGCTGACGAATTCGATTGCCCTGTCCAAGTAACTTTCATGTGAGCATTTAAATGATTCATTTTAGCAATATAATGACATGACATGACGCAGTTCATATATTATTTTATATTTATGGCAATTCATATCTTGCAGACAAATGTTTGATATAAATGTACTTCATTTAAGTAATATTTTTCCAAGAAGAAATTTTAAAAAAGAAATGACTTCTCAACTTTATTATTCTTAAATTTTGTAGCGATTTCCTTAAATTAAATTTTTTTTTTCATTTTGTGTATAAAGTATGAATCAGTGAAGGGCTAAATTAATTTCATCGCTTAAGCAAATAAATTCATAAATTCTTTTTCAAATATTCAAAGTTTTTTAGAATTATATTACCAAACAAGTTGTGATACAAAATATGCAAATAATGAGTAAAGTATGAAGTAGAGCAATCGCAATTACAGTGCTAAATATGACACATTAAAAGTAGAGAAAATTTGTCGAAAGACATCGAAAAACTTGGAAAAATTATAATTTGTTTACTTTTCTAAACTGATTTTCATGCAGATAAATACTTGCTTCACAAGACAACATTATGATTGAATAATTTAATTTGCATTTTCTCCTTGCAGCACAACATTTTACTTCATGACAGTTATATGCAAAATTTTAGATGCAATAGCAAGTGAAGATTAAAAAGCAATGCTGATTTATTCACCTGAAAAGCTAATTGATCTTTTAGCATTCTGATAGTCTCACTGAACTGTTCTTCAACAGCAGCTGACTTCTTCTCGCATTTTTCCAGTTTCTGATTCAACTCATTTGCATTCTGTTCCGCCAATTCGAGTCTAAAAAAAGTGTTCTTAATTATACAAAACTCAAAAATACACACTTTTTTAACTGATCTTTTAACATTCTGATAGTGAGATTGATAAAAATAAAATACAGCATTTTATAGCAAAAAAATGCATTCATTACGACTTTTCTCTCAAATATGAAAACATGAAGTGGAGTGAATTTGCGTGAAATTATATCTGTTCACACTCAAATCAACCTTCTTTCTATTTCTTGTTTGCTCTTAAAAGTTAATCAGAAAATTGAATTAATGCCAAAAGAACTCACAAATTTAAATGAAAAAGATAAGTTTCACACTGCCGTGACTGATACTTAAATATGAAGATAAACAAGTAAAACAAGCAATGCTATTTTGTTAAACACAACAGTCTTACTTACAGCAGTGTGATCACGCAGATGACACACCACCAACAATTCAACAATACGCTCAATTGCGCTAACTTTTAATCGAATCACTTTCAGTACTAAGCATATACAAATTTTTGCACTAAAAATTGTGCTAGAAAATAAAAAATGTTATAATAGTTGAACAGAATACGCAGTTACTTTACTTTCATAAAATAAACTTTGAAAAGGCAAAAAAGTAATTCCACGAGAACATAATTCCATAATGATGGAAGTTCATGCATGATTAGCAATACTACTTCTCATTTCGATAACACAAAATGACATATTTATGGGCAGTTAACAAAAAAACATTTTCATAATTTTATCAGAAAATCTTTCGGTCACACAACGATTATTTATAAACAACTATCCATAATGATGGAAGTTTCATGCATGATTTAAATTATCAGTCAATTGTTTTATTTTATAAGTGAATATTTTGAGAGGAAATAAAAATTCAACTGATAATTTAAAGAGGTGACCTTTTACGAAGTTGCTCATTTTCGTTTTCAAGTTTGGCAGTAGAATTTGCAGAGCTTTTTACATAGAGTCTGTGATAGAGATCTGAAATGTAAGTAAGCGCTGAGACTAACTTGTTTAAACAAGCAAGTCAATTTACTTCCATGACACAGACTTAGAAACGAGTATTATGCAAGTCTTCTCTTCACAACAATAATCAAAAAACCTTCCATAATAAGAAGTGACTGATTGAAAGTCTTGGCGTGCATTTAACTGCATTATGCAGTAACACATGCATAATATTGCAGATATTGTGAGAGCAACAGCGCTGTCATATCTGATAGTCTACTAATATTATTTCCGATCAATGATAAAACAATTTTTTGCTCAAAAACAAACTTTGTAAGTAAGTTTTGACCTAAAATACAAACGAAAGTAGCAAGAAAATAAGAAAATAATAAAATGCTTTGCATGGCAACCTTAAAATTATGCTTATTACTTAACCATTGACGTCACGCAATAAATTGTGCTTATATTTTTCAGCTTATGAACACAGAAAAGTATTTCTGCTGCTAATATTATAATAGTTTGCATGAGAAGAGATTAGAATGCCTTTAGAATTTTATCATATGAATACACTCTATAAGCACTTTCACAATAACTATGTAAAATTCAAAGGAAAATGAATAGATGGAAAAATTCATTTCTAAGTAATATTGTGACTATTATGGGCTTCTAAACAAAACAAATAATTCAGTGCAACTGTATATAACTTTCTAACTAAAATTTTCAAGTCATAAAGTATACCTCTCAGATGATGATGAAGTCGATCAATTTCTGCGTGTAATCCAGTCAACATTTGCGAATTTTCGTTTTGTAAAAATAATATCTGAGCGTTTTCGTGGCGACGCCACATATCATCGCGTTCTTGAACTGCTGCTGTTATTCGTTTTGCGCATATCTTATCGATTAAACTTTCAACTTGATCGAAATTAACTTTCTAAAAATACTTAATTAATTGTTCAATAATAAAAGAATGATGATAAGCAGCGCACTTTATTCGTCATAATTACTACTTTCTTTACTATATTAGAAATCTTAAGAATATTAAAACTTTAATTCCAAAACAAAATCTTTCTGCTAAAACTTTGCTTTCCTAAAGCCCCTTATGTAAGAAATTAATAATTAACTCTAAAATTTAATACTTGAATATTCCATTTAGTACTCATTAAAATTTTTTTAAGTAATTTTGCACAATAAAATTGTATCAAATCAAAAAGTGTAATTTTCATTGAATAAGAGACTGGTTAATTCTTAAGCATTTGAGTATTGTGCACATCAACGACTAACAGCAGAGCATACTGGGACAGAATCACTCA